ATATATATATATAAGAAATATCATATTTTTATTTACATTATTTTTAAGTATGTTTTAGTAATATATGAAAATATACACTATTATTGAAAAAATATACTTGTATATTATTATGAATGGATGATATTTTGGGACTATTGAGAGTTGTCATTTGATACGACATATTGATTTATAAATATGTATATTATATCGGTTTATTTTAGGAAAAAGCTACTTGTACAACTTTTTTTTGTACATCATTCAATGACAACATGATGTGGCATAATGTGGGTGGTTGAGATGCAATTAAATGTATAATTAAGATTTTAGTTAATGATATTTTTAACTAACTTGTCAACCAATGTTGTAAACTACAATTGTACATGTAGCATTGCTCTTTATTTTATCAAACGAATATAATCTTTTAAAATAAATCTATATCTATATCTATATCTATACATATATATATATATATATATATTAAAAGTCAACATATTTACCAAAAACAGTAGCATTGTAGCAAGAAAAGTCAACACACATTTAATGCATACATTATTTGGAATTTTTACTATATGCATTAAATGCTTGCATATTTACATTTACTATCCAAATATGATCTTAAAGATTTTTTCCTTAAATAATTTATATGATTTTACTGATATCCATTATAATTAATATTTGTCGAGTAATATTTTTTAACCTTTATTTAATTATATAACACTAACATTTTTTAAAAAAATTAATATTATTTATTATTTAAAAGATAATGATCACATCATTAAATGATTTTATTGATGGTTTTTTTTTTGCCGAGACGATAGAGGTAGTATATATAAAAGCACAAAAGTGTAAAATAAACAGATTACAAGACCCCAACAGGGTAATTCTAAGACCCCAACAGGGTAATGAGACAGGGGCCAACGGCCAAACCAAAAACACCCTAAAAACAAACTGGAATTAAAGACTGAGAGGACACGCACATGGCGGCCTAAAGAACTCCACAAACGAAAATAAAGGAAAATGAAAAACAGAGCCACTGCACAATGCCTAGCCCGAATTCATCTCCGAAACAAAAACGAACAAACACACTGAGCAAAATAAAAAGAAAACCTACAAAACAAAATCAGAAGAAGAAAACTACAAGACCCTCCCCCGGAGAACCGACTAAACCGAAGAAGCAGCTACAACCGACTCTAGGTTAGGACCCTAGCCAAGTCCCAACCCCCGAAACTGTCGAAGGCCTAACAAGAGGTGGGACCCCGCCCCCGAACCCAACCCAAAGGTTAGAACCCACTGACCGTGGAGAACCGGCCTAGCAACCCCAACCGGATAAACCCGAACTAGACTAACACCACTAGCCCATCTCCGGTTTACCGGATCCCTAGCATCCCAAAAGGAGATGCACAAGGATAGTCGCATCCTGCCCGAACCCCAACTCCGTCAACCGCCACGCACCACACACAGCAGTCCCCAGAGCCCCTCCCTACCGCCACCATCGAAGCTCCTCAATACACGGCCGCAAGCTCGCCTTCTCCCTCCTGTCCCAACTGCCAACCACACCGAACCTCTGTAAATCACCCCAAAGAACGGGAGAGACGACAGAGAAGCCACGACTGCGAATCCGAGGAGAGTAGATGTCGGGGAAGAAAAGGGCGGCCAGCGGCGGCCGCAGATCCGGCCTCGCCGCAGCCGGAAGAGGTCAAAACGGGACAAAATTAAAGGCGCTGCGAGAGGGATGAATAGAGGAAAAAATCGCCGACAGAGAGAGATGATTTTAATTTTATTGATGGTTAGATAATAAAATTATATTAGTTATTCTTTAAAATTTTGACATGTTATTTATTTGTATATTATTGTCAACTATGATAGTGTTTTATCACTTTTTTCTGTTATGTTTCAAAAATGAACTTATTGTAAAATATTTTTCAATTGCATAGTATGTTAAATAAACTATAAAGCCTTAGGATGAAAAAAAGAATTATTATGAGAAAATTGAATTCTAAAAAACATGTGTGTGTATTTTGTAAACATTTATACTCAAAATTTTATTTTGAATTTCATTACATAAAGAAGCCTACTTCTATAACTTTTATAAATAATAATAATTACATTATATGACTGTAAATTTTATAATAAAATTATAATTGAGTATTATAAGGTGAACAATAATTAATAAAATTTTTATTTTTTCTTATATCCATGAATAAATATGTATTCTAAAATCAAATAAATATTAGTATGACGTGTTAGCGGAATTATATATTAATTAACATGTTATTTTTTTTGGCTTACATGAACGTCACTTATTAAAAGATGTGAAATATGAATGATCCAAGCCTATTGTTTTTTTTGTCTTGAATGCAAGATATTGACTGGTGATCATGCTGGCGACACAGTGTTGATTCCTAGAATGAACATTACTCCTTCTGATCTTAGGAATCTATTTATAAGTTTCAGCGGCGACAGTTCCACTTATGGATTCGTATGCCATGACCATAAACAAGAGTCAGAGACAGTCTTTATCCCACGTTGGTCTTTTTCTAAAGAAGCATGTCTTTAGTCATGATCAATTATATGTTGCTGTTTCACGTGTGACCAATAGAAGGGGTTGAAGATATTAGTTTGTGATAATGAGGAGTTACCCGATAATAAAACTCATAATGTTGTGTACAATGAAGTCTTTAATAATATATGATTGTTTTTTTCAATACTATTTTATTGTACAATTTTTATGTGTATTGTACAACTTTTATTGAATATTGTATTAAATTATAATACTCCTCAAATGAATATATCCCGTGTCTCGCACATGTCACGTACTATATATATCCCGTACATCATTTTTATCCATTTATATAATTATAAGGCTGGATATATGACCTTAAAATTGTGCACCCCATGGGATCTGTATTAGGATAAATAAAAGTTTGATATTTAATTTTAGGGAAAATTTCACTTTTGATACCCCAAAAATACCTACTTTTCGCTTTTGATACTCGTGTTTTCGACTTAATCAATATTAGTACGTAAGTATGAAAAATCAATCAATTTTGGTCCCGAACGTCAGTTGACCGTAAGTCAACTAACGGAAACTGGCTATAGCCGGTTACCATGTTCGAAAAGACCTCTTAAGCCTATTCCATCCAATTCGATCGTGCATTTAGTCCTAATTCTCAAATCAGTAAAGAAAAAAAAACCCTAATTGCGATTTTCTTCTTCAAATTTGTTGAGGTGACAATCATCAGTTGAGACGACAATCTTCACCATATTTTCAATCAATTGGTGTGGTGTCTCAGAAAGAATCGCGACGGGCATATTGACGTTGCATCTGCAGAAAAATCCGACGAGCCATCTGAATCCATGGCGAGAAGGATTATATGTGGACTGCCACCTGAATACGGTAAGTAAATCTCGTCTTCCTTGTCGAATATTTTGTTCAATTTTTCAATTGCTTGTTATTTCATATGGACATCTAAAAAATTAGGGTTTTCGGTTTACAGAATAATTTAGGGTTTTTCATTTGAACAATTTAGGGTTCTTTCATTTGTGATAGATTCTTTATTTTTGTTGTTGTTGATTGGCTGAGGGTTTCAATTGAGAAATTCCCTAAAAAATAGGGTTTTTTCTTTAGTTCAACAAATTAGGGCCTTTTCAATTGAACACATTAGTGTTTTTTTAATTTTGCTTATTTTTGTTGTCGTTGATTGGCTGTGTTTTGAGGGTTTAGGGTTTCCCTAAAAATTAGGGTTTTTTGTTCAATTGAACAAATTAGGGCTTTTTCAATTGAACATATTAGTGTTTTTTAATTTGTGAGATTGTTTATTATTGTTGTTGTTGAGTGGCTGTGATCAGGGGGTGTTTATATATATATTTTTTTGGTTGTAGATCCTCTGACAGAACCAACTCTATTCACAATTGAGTTTATGCATGGTGGTTTGATGAGTCATACACCTGTGAGAGAAGGATTACTGCAATGACAAACAGAATTTGACAAGGACCAACAATGAGAGAAGGATTACTGCAACCCATAATTTTTTGATCTTATTCTTGTACACAACCAATGCAATGTTGGTATCATTCACCTTGCTCATTGCCTCCAATAATTGAGCTTCTATTTGAGCACTCTTCATCTTGTATTGCTCAATTTGATCTTCATATTTACTTAATTTTTCCAGCAAATCGGGTATAATATTCTTTGCTCTTTCACAAATTTCTGGATCCAACCATACAAAAAAATCCACAAAAACCAGATTTCTGCACAATTTGTACAAATACTTGTTACATTAACTAAATTAAAACAAAAAGTAAATGAGTAATTAAATACTTACACCATAGTTAGGACATGCCCAATATCTTCTTCCCAGATTTTTTCGACTCCAAGAGGTCTTCAAGTAGGCTCTTATTCGACAGTTGCAAGTCATCTCCATTGGCTGGCCATTATTTTCAAAATTCCAGCTTTCCCTTGAAGTGCTCATGGTCGGATTTTCTTTTTTGCGCCGGAAAAATGATGACTTAGCCGGAAATCACCCCAAAAGACGAGCAATTTTTTTTTTTTTTGGCCCAAAAAATGAACCAACAGGTTTATCTCCATTTTTGCCCGTTGGAGAAGAAGAATGAACTTGTTCAGCCAGTTTCCGTTAGTTGACTTACGGTCAACTGACGTTGGGGACCAAAATTGATTGATTTTTCATACTTACGTACAAATATTGATTAAGTTGAAAACACGGGTATCAAAAGCGAAAAGTAGGTATTTTTGGGGTACCAAAAGTGAAATTTTCCCTTTAATTTTATAAACTCTTAAAACCTGTCCATTTAACATCATACTACTTAGGTTGTGTTTCTTGAGGGTCTGAAAAACTAGGGATTTAAACAAGAAAAGATATAGACGGTTACGGGCTGTCATACAGTAGAGGTGAAGACTGAATTCAACAGGTTTAAAGAAAGTGCTTTTAGGGTTTTTGGTCGCGGCCCGCCATCACCATTCGCCAGCAATGTCTTCCAAGAAACGCGGCCGGATAACGAACCCTGAGCCGTTCTTGCCCTTGGGCTCCGACGCCTTCTCCGGCAAGAAGCGCGCCAAGCCGCCCAAGCCCCACCAGCCCCACCAGAAGCTCGTCCCCTCCTCCGTCAGCTCCAAGATACTAAAAGAGGCCTTGCTTCAGCAGAAGGAGATCCAGCGCAGGAGGATGACGAAAAAAACCTCGCCGAGCAGAACCCTGGCGATAAATTCGTGCTAGCCAACGTGCAGGGCCTTAAGGACAAGGACGATGAGGAGGATGTGAATGATTTTGATGGGTTTTCCGAGACCCAAAGTCAGTTTGGACAGTGGGATTTTGAGGTTTGCTCTCAATTTCTTCTCTTTATTGTTGATGCTTGGTTGGACAGTGGAAAATTTGAGGGTTGCTCTCATTTTCTTCTCTTTATTGTTTATTGGAGACTAAAGGTATTATCTTTCTGATGATGCTGTTCGTGGCAGGCAATATGTTGGTTGGTTACTTTTGTTTTTGTTTTTGATTTGGTGATGAAACCGATCTTCCTATTCATTGCCTGTTTTAAGTATGAGTGTTCTGCCCTTTGGTTTATATATATGTTATGTGGTGCAATTTTCATATTTGATTAGTAAGGATTAGAGTGGATTTAGTATATGCTTGCGAATTTTTTTTCTGTGAAAGGGATGAATGGTAATTGAAGTACGTGTTTGTTAGTTCGTCTCGGACATTGCGATTGTCAATCTAGTGCTATTGAAGTTGTGAAAGTTCCTTTTGTTCTATATTCACTTTGGGCTCTGTTTCAAATAAACCGACTTTTTGTTCATTAAATAGGAAAACATTGATGAGGAAGACGAAAAGTTGCTGGAAGCTTTCCTATCAAAGTTTATTTATAGTCACAATCCATGACAATTCATTATTAAATAACCCAGTTTCTTCTGTTATCAGTTTTCTGTATGTTGGTGGGGTGCGAGTTGTACTTGGTAGTGTATCCAAATTATAAGAAACACTCAGTTTGGTGTCTTTTCTTTGTAGGTGTGCAGCCAATGCCAAAATTGGATGACTCAATCATAGAGCTGTACAAGGGGTATGACAACAATTTTGAAAATCCAATTTGGGCATAATGTCCATTTTCTATTCTCATGCTTGTATTTATGGAATACGAACACTGGTTTTTTTTATGGATATTGCGTTGCGTATGGATATTTGCAGGGTTGGGAAGCTGCTCAGTAAGTACACCTCCGGCAAGATGCCAAAAGCTTTCAAGCACATAGCTTCTGTGCAATTCTGGGAGGAAGTCTTGTATTTGACTGAACCTGAGAAGTGGTCGCCAAATGCAATGTACCAAGCAACGGGAATATTTGCTTCAAATTTGGGCGTCAAGAAGGTCGAGCGTTTCTACAGGCTTGTCTTGCTGCCACGCGTGAGAGAAGATATTCGGAAGAATAGAAGGCTGCATTTTGCCCTGTATCAATCCTTAAAAAAAGGCTCTGTACAAACCAGCTGCTTTCAATAAGGGAATTTTGTTCCCGTTGTGTGAGGTATATTAGTTTTTGAAGTTTAGAGAGAGTTTGCGATTACGTATACCCGCTTTGGTTTCTAGCACATTTTCGTTTCTCAATATTGATTTTTATGGTTGTGCATGTTTATTCCAATGAGTTGAGTTTGCGATTACGTATACCCGCTTTGGTTTCTTACTTTGAGGGAGGCTGTTATTGTCGGGAGCATCATCGAGAAGATCTCCATTCCTCCTCTTCATTCGAGGTATAAAGTGGCTGTTGACCTTTGCCCAATTTTCTTTTGGAAAGCTCTTTAATCCATTCGGGTATTACTACTAGAAAAGCCTTGCCTTTATTGCGATTGAGTTAATCTCTTTTTCTGATTGCAGTGTTGCACTGCTGAAGCTTGCAGAGATGGAGTACTATGGTACAACAAGGTATTATCTTGTATAGAACTCTTAAGGCATGCTTGTTTACAAATAAATTCGTTCAAAATGGATTTTTTCATTTAACCAGGGTTAATTTTGAAAAAGTTGGATGGTTAATCGTTAGTGGGATTTTGATTTTATATTAAAATAATTAAAATTGATTTGATGTAAAATAGAAGGTAAATGGTGTGAAGTGATAGTTAGTTAAAATTATGTGATTGGATGAATAGTGAATTGAAGTCGATGTGATTTGTAAGAATGATTGGTTTGTTTTATTTGATAATATTCATTTGAGTTTGAGTTAAAGTTGAGTCAGATTTTGAATATGAATTGAATGTGAACGAATTATTATGTAAACAACATGCTATTAAAGTTTATGTGAATGATAACGTGCCAAACAGTTTCATATCCTTGCGGGATTTTCTCCGCTTTCACAGCAGCTTGTGATTTAGAAAAAAAAATAAAAAAATAATAGAAGATGAAATTACTTTCATCTGTTTCATCGTTAACTAGGGTAATGTAATTAGTCCGATGGAATCTCTCTCATTAGAAAGAACTTTTTTTGAGACTGCAATTTGTAATGGATTTAACATTCAAGATCTGTTTGTGCAGTTATTTCATAAAGTTACTGATTGATAAGAAATATGCACTGCCATACCGTGTGCTCGATGCTTTGGTTGCTCATTTTATGACATTCTACGAGGACTCGAGAGTAATGCCTGTGATCTGGCATCAGTCACTTCTTGCCTTTGCACAAAGGTTCTTTTTATCCTCTCTGTCTTTTTTTCACTTATCATTCAATTTTTACTGCCCATTGCATTGTGTTTATAAGGGAAACAGTTATAATTCTTGTAAATGACTGTGATTAGTGAGTTTTATCAATCATGAAATTTTATCTTTAAGATGAAAGCAACTGATGAGAAATTTGCTTCCATCTGAAACTGCAAGAAGATGATCGAAAATTTACATATGTTTCTTTTTCCTTTCCTATTATCTTCCCAAAGTGTTTTTTTTTTTGGGGGGACTGGAAAGAAACTTATCATTAAGAAATCAAACAGAAACTAAGTCAGTACGGATAAGTTTCTTAAACTCTATTTGTTGTATTGTATTATTATGCTCAGGTACAAGAATGAGTTAACAAAGGAGGACAAAATTAATCTCAACACTTTGGTTCAAAGGCAAAGGCATAAATTGGTAAAAGATTGATGACCTACCTGTTACAAATAACCTTTTTTTGTATTTGATGATATAGTGAATAAATCCATCTCCATTCTCTCGATTTGCAGGTTACACCCGAAATACTAAGGGAGTTGAATAACAGCCGTTACCGTGGGGAGAAAAATGATGATCCCATGTCGATTTATATCCTTCTAATTTTCACTTAAAACATTTTTCTTTTGTGATGTTTGTATTTACATGATAGATTGATTTATTTATTTATTTTTATTTTTTTCACAAGGGTCGTGTTTATGTATTTATCTCAAAACATCGGACTTTTCAATTGGGCCCTATTTACGGTCAAACATTCCTTGACTCACATAATACCAACCCCTCTTTCTATAGTTACAAAAGCCATTCAAGAAGACAGGTTCGATATTCCAGAAGTACCAATAGAGGAGGATTAGATTTTGCCTATTTTCCTGATTTCTATAGGTATAATAATAACTATTTTCGCCTTTTTATTTAGTTTTCTTCTCGAAAGATGAGACAATTTACTTAATTATTTTTCATGGGTGATTTTCTTATGATTGTAAAAGCTATTCCATGCAGGTGGTTTTGGAAATTCGAAATTATTCTCGGGGAAAGATCTCTGTAATACCTAGAGATCGCTTTCTAGGATGGAATATAATGCCAGGTTTGATTGATTGCTGGATATGAATATTTTTGGAGTTTTTAGATGAAAAAAATGGACAATAGAAACCAAAAATGAGTTCATGAGATTTTTTCCTTTTTATTTGTTTTAAGTGGCGAGATCAAATTAAGTCGCTTTCGTATTACGATTCAAGTTTCACAACTTTTGAGGCAAGATTTTACCGATTCTTACAGTTATTGCCGAGTTCCTTGCAAAGAGTTTGTCGTGTGCCACTTGGTATCTTATGGTTTAAGATTTTCTGTTCTACTTTTTCATTTTCCATTCCGTTGGATGATTAACACGTGTACATGACGATGTCATATTTGTACACATGTTAGTCATTTAATAGACTGGAACATGAAATTGAACATCAAATCTAATCCCGTATTTTCGTGTGTTATGTTCTAGCTTGTGTTGTTGAAATTGTTTGTAATTTTGATCTGAAACTCGATATGTGAAAGGTTGGATTTTAATATATGTTTTACGATCGAATTTGGGGGATTCTGATGCAATTTAAGAGGAATTTAGTGCAGAAATGTAGGATTTAGAACTTCATCAAGATTTTTCATGATGCAATTCTAGCTATTTTAGGGGTGAATTTGATAACATAAAATATTCCCTCACACAATAAATAGTTCATATTGATTATGAAAACTATTGATTATGAAAACGTTTCAGAGTCTGGTTTCTGAGCTTTCCACGTTCAAGAAAGTTTTTCTGTCGGTCCCTTTTCTGGAAACCGATTTCTATCGGCAGAGGTGCGGTGTCGGTCCCTTTTCTGATGTTCGCTGACGATCTCCTCTTGTTCCTGGAAGGCTTCTGTAACTCAAAATTGATTGTCTTCTATTCCTCCAACTCAGATCTGACCTCCAATGTCGATAGCTAATAAAAGAAGAAAACTTGGCCTCAATAATAATTCTAACAATGCCACCACAGTTCTGTTAGTAAGAAACACAACAAAAAAACAGAATCAAATCAAAAGACCTTTGAGACAGCAAGCTGCTTCTGTAATCTTCTTATCTGCTCACTTTAAGACAAACATGTTGACTGCAAATTTAACAAAGGAGATGTTATTAATTTGTTAATGCATGTGTGATTGTTCATCACATACTGGTATTTCAAAATGTACCTCAAGATCAGTCGCTTTAGTTTGCTAGCTGTCTAAATCGGGAATGGACTTTCCAATCCATTCTTTGTATGTTGCAACTTCATCTTGTAATTGCTGCAGATCACATCTCAAGGTAGCAACTTCACTATTCAATGCTTCCTTTTGTTTCAGAAGCTCATCTTGCAATGCCTTTTGAGAAAGTGTGGATTCAATCGAATCCAATCTCTCCTTCAAGGTATCGTACTGAGATACCAAGGTATCGTACTGAGATACCATCAGAGATTCCATCCTGGCTGCTATTTCCTTCACCATTCCCCTTAAATCGGTATTCTCCGCCTCTTCTATCTCCACACAAAAATCTTTAATTACAAGCCGCTGGGCTTCACGACATCTTCTTCCCTCATTGGAATCTTGAAATGACATGCCAAAGCCGCCACTAACATACCAAAAGACGGGGCGAACCTATTCGAGGTCGTCTGAATACTAGCTACACTGACCCATATAAAGGAAAGACAGTTTACTGCTTCTCGTGCATCGCACACTGAAGGATAAAGAGTTCTCTTGCTCAACTTTTTAGATTCCTTTTTGCATTATAACTTAAAAATTTCTGGACTATACCTACTGTAAGATCCTTAATAAACGTACTTTGCATGTCTCCTTTTGGCTTCGGACAGCCAGTGATCTCTAACCAAGCGTTCTCTACATTAAACCCTTTCGGAGGTGCCTCAGCTCCCGTAGATACAAAACCGAATATTTGATGCATTAAAGCGGCGTCAATCGTCCTCCTCTTGTCTCCAAGGCAACACACGACATCCGTACCATTTTTAGCAAATTTAAATGTTGTATAAAATTCAAAAGTCAAGCTCGTATAAGTTTCAAGATCCATCTTTGCGTAGTCTTCCAAATGAAGAAATTGCAAATACTTCTTCACATTGGCGACTATTTCGGGTTTTTCACTCTAGCTGAAGTCTAACACAATAAGGGGTAAGACGCTGAACTTGGAGAGTCGCGTGTAAATATGACGCTCGGCGTCGTTCATAACTTTGAACGGCGCGGAGCTAGCGAAGTCCGAGCCGTCCGACGTCGAATGCTCTTGAGGCTCAGACTTCGCTAGCTCCGCCCCGTTCAAAGTTATGAACGACGCCGAGCGTCGTATTTACGCGCGACTCTCCAAGTTCACCGTTTTACCCCCTGTTGTGTTAGACTTCAACCAGAGTGAAAAACCCGAAATAGTCGCCAATGTGAAGAAGTATTTGCAATTTCTTCATTTGGAAGACTATGCGAAGATGGATCTTGAAGCTTATACGAGCTTGACTTTTGAATTTTATACGACATTCAAATTTGCTAAAAATGGTACGGATGTCGTGTGTCTCCTTGGAGACAAGAGAAGGACGATTGACGCCACTTTGATGCATCAAATATTCGGTTTTGTATCTACGGAAGTTGAGGCACCTCCGAAAGGGTTTAATGTAGAGAACGTTTGGTTGGAGATCACTGACTGTCCGAAGCCAAAAGGAGACATGCAAAGTAGGTTTATTAAGGATCTTGCAGTAGGTATAGTCCATAAATTTTTAAGTTATAATGAAAAAAGGAATCTAAAAATTTGAGCAAGAGACAACTCTTTATCCTTCAGTGTGCGATGCACGAGAAGCAGTAAACTGTCTTTCCTTTGTAGCTAGTAATTCAGACCTCGAATAGGTTCTCCCCGTCTTTTGGTATGTTAGTGGCGGCTTTGGCACGTCATTTCAAGATTCCAATGAGGGAAGAAGATGTCGTGGAAGCCTAGCGGCTTGTAATTAAAGATTTTTGTGTGGAGAGAGACGGGAGCGCAGGGGCGGAGGATACCGATTTAAGGGGAATGGTGAAGGAAATAGCAGCCAGGATGGAATCTCTGATGGTATCTCAGTACGATACCTTGAAGGAGAGATTGGATTCGATTGAATCCACACTTTCTCAAAAGGCATTGCAAGATGAGCTTCTGAAACAAAATGAAGCATTGGGTAGTGAAGTTGCTACCTTGAGATGTGATCTGCAGCAAGTACAAGATGAAGTTGCAACATACAAAGAATGGATTAGAAAGTCCATTCCCGAGTTGTCTTACAACTGGCAAACTAAAGCAACTGATCTTGAGGTACATTTTGAAATACCAGTATGTGATGAACAATCACACATGCATTAACAAATTGATAACATCTCTTTTGTTAAATTTGCAGTCGACATGTTTGTCTCAAAGTGAGCAGATAAGAAGATTACAGGAGCAGCTTGCTGCCTCAAAGGTCTTTTGATTTGATTCTGTTTTTTGTTGTGTTTTTTACTAACAGAACCGTGGTGGCATTGTTAGAATTATTATTGAGGCCAAGTTTTCTTCTTCTATTAGATTAGCTATCAACATTGGAGGTCAGATTTGATTTGGAGGAATAGAAGACAATTAATTTTGAGTTACAGAATCGTCTTGTAGAAGGGGAAAAATTGCGCAAGAAATTGCACAACACAATCCTGGTATCAGTGATCAGTTTTGATATAAATTCTTTAACTACATTAAATCATTTTGAAGAATAAATTATATACCACAATGTGGCAATATCCTGTCTTTCTGTTCTTCCATTGAGCATGATTTCTTTCTGATGGCAGGAGTTGAAAGGAACATCCATGTCTTTTGTAGAGTGAGGCCCTTTTGTCCGATGATGGAGTCGGAAACAATGCTAAAGTTGTCTCATTTCCAACGTCACCGGAAACATTGGGACGAAGCATTGATTGGCACACAACGGTGAGCATAGTTGTTGAAAGTTTTTATTTGTGTGCCTTGGATATGAGTAAACTTTGCTTTACTGAATTTCACATTACTTGATAATAACTTATCAGGGCAAAAGCTTTCTTTCACTTTCGATAAAGTGTTCATGCCCGATGCTTCTCAGGAAGATGTTTTTGTGGAGATCTCACAGCTTGTTCAGAGTGCACTTGATGGCTATAAGGTCATAATCCCAATGGAACTCTTATATTGACCTTGACCCCTGATAATTTAGAAGTATATAAGTTCTGGTTGATGACACTGGTTTCTACAGAACCAAAGTAATTTGAGTAAACCTTTTTCTGCTAATGAACATCATCCTTCCTGCTTTGAGATATTGCAAGCAATTGATATCCGTGTATTCCATATTTATTATTATAATCTCGAGCCATTTTTTAATAGTTACATGGTTTGCAGGGGGTTATATATTTTATCTTTATTATTCCTTTTATTTGATTTCTATTTTTTAGTTGTGTTAAAAGTAACCACCGGTTTGTGTAAAATGAGAAGTTAGATTGGAAACTGGTATATGTGCTCATTGCTGACTTATAATAATCATATTGATGTATTTCATGTCAGGTATGCATCTTTGCATATGGCCAAACAGGTTCAGGCAAGACCCATACAATGATGGGTAAGCCAGGACTACCCGATCAGAAAGGACTCATTCCAAGATCACTAGAGCAGGTGTTTGAGACGAGGCAAATTCGTCAAGCCCAAGGATGGAAGTATGATATGCGGGTACATGGAGAATTTCTCCTATTTACTATGTTATTTTTGGCTCAGTTGAATTCACTGTTACCTTTTTTTTTTT